GGAGAACAATTGTGCATCAGAAAACATTGAAAACCCACGAGTTTGAGAGCACTGAGTAAATATTATCAAGATTAATGCAAAATGTATTAAAACCCAGGTTAAAAAGTCAAATGATCAGTAACATGCATAGGCGAGGCTTTGAGCTACAATTGTCAGGCAGAGCACATTACTATAGATGAATTTATCCTGGAGAATCAATAGTAAAAATGTATGTTCTTAGGCTTCAACTAGATGCACAAACAAGTGTTATCCTAAATCCGAAAACCCAGAGACAGACAACGAGTCACAATAACATGGCTGAATATGCAATGACGAACCAACACACCAGTAAATGAAGAAACGGTGTTTCACTCTGTCCTTGACCATTATCAAGTCAAGGCGTTATCAAGTACACAACTTGTTAATTCCCCCCAACAAAAAAGAACACAAATGCCACTGACAGAAGTATCCCGAAAAGAAGAACGTGTTGAAATGATCTCCCGGCAACTTCGTAGTGGTGACTAGAAGAAATTACATTCAATGCTTGATTTCTGGGCAGGTACCTCGAAAGTAAAACCAGCTTTTTGCAAAAATTAATATATTAATAAGATAGAAAAAAAAGACCCTCCAAAGCTGGAGGGCTAACCACTGGGGTCGAGTACCAAAAACACTGGGTACAAGGAAAAACTGTGACCAGAAAAATACCCCAGCACAACGCAGGTCCAATTAGGACGTAGAAAATCCAGATGACAAGCAGCTAACGCACTACTCGAGTGCCAGAAACCCCTACCCCAAATACTACCGTCAACATATATGGACACCAATACGCATCAGGCTGGCTAAATCAAATCACTTGATGGATAACCCCATAATGCTTGGCATTGAACGCCGCCATAGGACAGAAAGCATGATACACCTCTATCAAGGCAAACCCTTCATTAACCACAAGTGGATTCATTCTTGACCATAAAGGACAAAACGAGTGTGATCCTCTGAAAGAAAAGGAACAACCCCTACATTTAGATAGGCAAGACAGATAGCAATGATTCTTGTCTCTCTGGGACAAGCCTCAGAGTCCAGTATTTTTACTGTCTCGGTTGTTCCAGGGTCTACAGCTAGGAGTGTTACCGAGAGAAAGTTCCTTGGAAAAAGGTGAGAATGGTAATACTAACTCAGTTTACTAATTTAGATCATATAAGGCAGACCCCAATCCTTCTCAAACAAGGATTCAAATCATGAACCCAAAATTTTTACGATTTCAAAATACACTAATGAATTCTTTTTTTACCACAAACTTAATTTGAATTTCCTCACATCAAACATTAATTTGCATTATTTGGCAGCATCTGCATTGAAATAATTAAGACAGACTGGCAATAAGAGAAATGTCAACTTACCTTGGTGTGGTTAACAGCTTTTTAAATCGGTGAAGAGCTTAAAATCTGTACATGACCTAATCTAATCATAAACTTACTGAACGAGTAAGTGATAAACTCGGTTTAAACCCCCCTCCCTTCCCAAGCTGCTGAGGGTTTACTGGTTGAAGGTCTTTGACTTTCAGACCTTACCAAATTTGAGCAATTTGACTTGTCTCCTTTTTTTCATTAGCTCATTGGCCTCCCAGAAGTACTGGAGAAACATCAAGTATCTTGACTTTCACTCTTGGAGACAATTAATTAGTTTACCAATACAGTAACATCACTGAATTTTGTTGTTTGCAGCATTGCTTCCCCCCTCTCTCTTACTACCTCTGTCGTCCTACACCTCACCAGTACAATCTCATGTTTAGGCAGCATACATACTATAACCCTGGATTATTTGCATTTACAACCCTTTCTAAATCCTGACCAGCTGGTTGGAAAATACCATGGATCTCATCAATAAATCCTTTAAAGCTCTAGGTCTGCTTCTTTCATCTTACTAAGTGAAACTGTTAGAATGTTGACCAGACCACACACTAGAAGGTGAAGGGCAACAACGTTTCAGTCCGTCCTGGACCATTCTCAAGTCGATTCAAGTCACAATCGATTTGAGAATGGTCCAGGACAAACTGAAACGTCGTCGTCCCTTCACCTTCTAGTGTGTGGTCTGGTCAACATAATTTAGCCACGTTATTGCGACTCATCGCCTGCAAACTGTTAGGATCTTAACCAACTCTCTACAGAGGACTCCTTAACCTCACTCCAACCTTCAGGCCAATTTTAAATGGCTTCTTTTATTTCTTCAAATGTTCAAGTTTATTTTTGTGCCCTGGTATCCAAGTCGTCATCCTCATCTTCCTCAAGGAAGAACCACTTTGATGACCAGACCACACACTAGAATGTGAAGGGACGACAACGTTTCGGTCTGTCCTGGACCATTCTCAAGTCGATCGACTTGAGAATAGTCCAGGACGGACCGAAACGTCGTCGTCCCTTCACATTCTAGTGTGTGGTCTGGTCATCATACTTTAGCCACGTTATTGTGACTCATCGCCTGCACAAGAACCACTTTGTATGGCACAGCTTTGGTGCACAACCTTTTTTGTTGCCCCTCATAACTCCTTGATTTATAGGCTGGATGAGAGGTGATATTAGATGGTTGTGTGTCAAATATTAGTTTGCCATCAGGTGAAGTTTAGGTGTCAATACTGAGGTGAACAAGGGTATAATCCAGCAAATTTATAGCCTGAACTTAACCACACTCAGTGTTCCAAGTTCTGATTACTACTTTTCAACAATCCTTACAAACAGGAAAACAAACAGGCACTTGGAAAAATCTTATTTAAATCTATAAAAGTGATAGATAGGATACTACAGAAAAGTACCACTGATTGGTGTAGTAGCCAAATCACTACTGAAGACAAACTTGTATGGTGAAATACTTAGAAAGAAATTATGTAATAAACAGGCAGTATTCATAAATAGCAAATTTGCTTAGCATGTATGGCAAGCCACTGAGATTCAGCAAAATGAGTTGGTTAAGGAGATCGTATTTATCTTGACCTATCAAAAGCATTCAATGAAGTCCCACGTAAGAGATTGGCCTGGAAGTTAAGATTATTTGAAAGGAGTATGTAAAGATTATTTCTATGGTTGGAGGACTTTCTAACAGGTACAAAAATTTGTAATTAGATAACATAAATTATACTATAGATAATTGTCACTAGGCAGGTTGTACAAGGGTCTCATCTAGCAGCCATAAAGTTCATGGTATATGTAAATTATCTACCTGCAGGGATACAGTTGTAGGAGCATATTTATAGCTGCAGGGATACAGTTGTAGGAGCATATTTATAGCTGCAGGGATACAGTTGTAGGAGCATATTTATAGATGATACTAAGATACTGCGAGCAATTAGAAGATCTACCAGTAAATGAAATTAGGGACATAGATAAACATATGGTTAATGGATGATATTCAGCACGTAAATCAAGATTTAGGGTAGATTCTTTACGGTAAACTGTCACTAGAGGATCACATCAAAGCAGATTAGCCTTCAAGCACATGGATGGACAAATGGTAAACACACTGCCCACAAGATGTTATGCGAGACTCAAATTAGAACACGTAGCAATTGTTTGTTTTCCTATATAATGTAACAAGAGATTTGAACAAAGGTTTAATCCGGAGTGTGAACATGTGAGCAGGGACCCTAACCTCCCACATCAACGAGACCATTAGATATTCGTGATGGTTCAGCAAACCAGTTCTAAAATATTTGACGATGACGTAGTCTGGAGCAACTGAGGTGCAGTAACAAGTGTTCATTTAAGATGTGTTAAATAGGATTTGATAAGATACCAGAGGCATGTCCTAAAGGAGGAGATGAAAGACAGTGTAGCGAGAGCTGTGGGACTGTATTACAGACTGGATTTATCAAGGTGAACCAGCAAATTCCCATGTTAGTGTACTTCCCCTTTGTTCCAATAATATAACTTCTAAACTACTTGAGTTTAGGAATATATTAGGATGTGATTGACTACCAATATTAGCTACATTATGAAAGCATCCAAAAATTACTCCCCATTCTTTTATTTGGCAGCGATTGTCTTGTCTAAAATATTAAAATACCACAGTCTCTTGCTTTGGGTAGTCCATTTTGATTCATAAAATTACCTCCTCATTTGTTTTTAAATTCACGACAATATTTAATCCCTGAAGCCAGGTGTCTAAGACGAGGATAATCAGTATAACAATAATAAATGTGACTAGGAGTAATTAAGAACTTATTCGGATCATAACAATAACATCAAAATACCAGGTATTACAAGAAAGTGAATTATAATAAGTAAAACAGTAATACATACAAAATGGTAAAAGAAAAAAATTAGGAATTACAAGAAAGATTTTTTTTAAAGAACTCATGAAACTAGTAAATAGCTGTCAGATGAAAAATAATAAAGGAAAACAAGAAAAGAATGTAGATACTAATCCCGTCAAAATTGAAAGACAAAAAATAAAATATATTTATTCCCCATGAATGTCATATAGATGAATTCTTGAAACCCATCACTTCGAGAACAAAGCACATGGGCAAATTAAGAAAACGTAAAAAAAAATGGTAGTGGCGAACATAAGGAATAAATGACAAGAGAAGAGCAATGGTGCAACACCAGAGGCATTATAAAATTCTCTACGTACAAGGAAACTGGGACACCGTGAGCTTAGCTCTTCCTGTAACTACACTCCAGTAATTACACTCACACATACACCACACACACAGCATTCTATTCAAGTTATAGGTAACTACCAATTCCTGCAATAAAAAAAAATTGAAACACTTGCCATGTTGGACAAGAAACTTTCAAACAATACTTGAGCCCTGTAATTAAATTTTATCATCAATAATAAAGCCATTCTTTGATGAAAAGAATGAAAACTGTAGTGCTTTTGAAAGTCATATAATTAGGAATTATACGTGTAAAATAAAAAGTGAAAGAAAACAAACGAAAAATTAGCTTTGCTTTTAGTTCTTTAGATGAATGCATTAATTACAAGACTCATTATTTGGTCATTACTTCAGTAAGAAGAGCACTTACCAGTGCTTCCACCTCTCGTGTTACTAAGTCCTGCGTGATAACCAGCATAATATGCAGCTTTCATTTTACCATGTTCTTCTGCAACTTTGACCACTAGAGGTTCTGTCCCGCCCTCAGGCACCACGCCGTTCATGCCCACAATTGCTGCCTCCGCTTGAGATTTCTTGTCAAACCTGAAATTTTCACGTTTCATAAAGTTCACAGTAGAAATTGACAAACTTTAATTAATATTCTTGGGAGTTATCCTACTAGAGTACAATACTTTAACTCAAGTTATTATCATTACTGTAACCAAATGAGCTGAATTTATTATGCAAATTACAAAGTTCTATTTATTATAAAAAACTACTAGACCTGAAATTATACTAAAATCTACCATTACATGAATTACATGAACAAAGATTGACCCACAAGAACAATGATTTTCAAAACCTAGTCAAGGTAACTTACTGTGGATCTGACTCCAGTAACGGTAAAGAAAGGACTCCTTACTTTACTAAAGGACTAACTAGAGGACTCCAGAAAAGGCAACCATTGGAAAGTGCCAGAACTCAACAAAGTTGTAGAAGGACCCAAGGCAGTACACAAAGGCAATCAAACACCCAAAACCTGCTCTAAAAAGCCGCAAGGAAGCCCTCCCACTCACAAGAAAGTCCTTAACACACAGTGTAGGACAGGACACATAAGGGTTGCGAATTAGTCCCAACACCTCCAGTTCTTCAAGAGCCTTAAGCAGTGGAGGAGGCTGGAAGGCCAACAAGCAAATCAGGCAGGAAATTACAGACCAAGACAGAGACTAAACACATGCCTCTAAATGCAATACCATCAGAGCATCTTGAAAAAAAAAAAAAAGTTGAACCCATTTCCATGGCAAAGGCAGCCACGTTTGCACAGGCCTGTAATGAGCTGTGGTAGCCAGCAAACAACAAGCTGTCTATTAAACCATCAACATCAAAGAAGGTTCGGCCAAAACAGAGATCCAGCGACACCAAATGTGGCACATCCAAACGTGAAATACTGAGGACCCAACAGGCAGAGCTGAAAGCAAGAGGTATACTCATCACCATTAAAAACACAACAAAGCACTCGGGCAGCAACATAAGTGAGGGAAATAATTTTCCAGATGCTCAGGAACTTGATTCCCTGCTGAACAATATCATAGGAATGATCAGATGTCTACAATAAAAAATACAAAAGCCTGTACAGTGCAAATAGAAAGGCTCGTAATACTAGAATTGATAATGCAATATCACACAATATGGGTAAAACCCAGCAAGAAGGGTTGAATTCCAGACCCCACAAAGCCGGAGTAAGTGCAGCATATAAGCAACACTATGTCATTCCCATCTCCATGTCTCGCTTCACTGATAAATATACGAAGCACTACTCTGGTAGATCTGACACAAAAAGTCTTGTCTCAGCAAGACACCAAATCCTCAGAGAAGAGAACTTTAGGTGAAAGTCAATCATACCTTGAGGTGCTTCTTCATCACTGCAGGATCAGAGAAAGATATCCTGAACGAAGCCAATGTGGAATAAAGGCAAGACACATGCAAATAAATGGCCAGCCACAGCAGGATGCATTAATAGAAAAAAGTCCCTATCAACAGTCCCTACAACTATCCCCAACTACTACTCCCCAAGCCTGGCCCTGAGCCTGGCTTAACTTGTGAGAGCTTGGTTCAACACGCAATTGCTTAGAGCAGCCCACAGGCCCACATATTCACTACAACCCGATTGATCCGGCACTACTTGCAGAAAAGTGTCCACTTTTTTCTTGAAGACTTCTATTTTTGTTCCAACAACATTTTTTGTACTCGCCGGTAGGATATTGAACAACCGAGGACCTCTGATGTTCAGACAGTGCTCTCTGATTGTGCCTATGACACCTCTACTCTACACTGGCTCTATCCTGGATTTCCTTCCATATCATTCACTCCAGTAAGCTGTTATTTTACTGGAGTAATTTAGGACCTGGCCCTCCAATATTTATCACTGAAATTTATCACTGTTGAACATCATGTTATTCTCTGCTGCTCAATCAAAAACTATATTAATATCAGCTTGTAGTTTCAAGTGTAGTTTTTCACTCTGCAAACAGTGGTAGATGATTGGAACAAGTGAGGTGGTGGATGCCAAAACCACCAGAAGTTTTAAGTGTCATGTGATAAAGAGTACTGGTAAGACAGGGCACCACAAGTGTAGCTCTCATCCTGTAACTACATTTAGGTAATTACCGGTCGATCGTCAGAGGAGAGGCGAGACTGAAGAGCCGAAGCTCAACCCCTACAAGCACAATTAAACGAGTACAATTAGGTGAGCAGGTGCATAGTGTTTACAGAGATGTCATACACTAGTACATCCTATTGTGTAAGCTCAGGGAAGTTCCCAGGAAATGTCAACCCCAAAAAATTATATATATATATATAACTTCACAAGTACTAGTACTACTCTTCCAACCCGTTCTCGCACTTTATTACAGTCAATATTGACTTATTAAAAACGTGCATATGTGACATACTAAACATACTAGTTTACCTTGAAAAGCTTCATAGAAAACACCGACCATACCAAACCTTCTTAGTATGTTAAGATAAGCATCTTATTGCTTCGTAATTACAATTATTACTTAACCTATTATAGGTATAGGTTAAGTAATAATTGTAATTACGAAGCAATAAGATGCTTATCTTAACATACTAAGAAGGCTAGGTTGAAGCTTTTCAAGGTCAACTAGTATGTTTAGTATGTCACATATGCACGTATTTAATAAGTCAATATTGACTATACGAAAGTGCGAGAACGGGTTGACTCTTCATATAAACTGTGTACATATTACACACACACACTTTTTACAGGTAGAGGTGTATTGTAAATATAAGGGAAAACACTCGGTATTTACCTGACAAAACCAACACCTCGTGGCAGTCCTGTCACTTTATCCTTTAGAAGATTTTTCTGGACAATTTGCCCATATACTGCAAACAATTCTTCTAGTTGATCTAGCGTGTATGATCTGTAAGACAAACAAAATATAGAAATTAATACAAAAACCCTTTATATAAAAAGTTGACTTTTTGTTTTGAAAATGTTGTGCTAAATAAAATGTGTGCGTACAGTACATATTGTAATAAGAGCAAAAGCTGTATGTTTGTGTTCTAAGCATTTAATACTGTGCGCATATTAGTGACACGAATATACTGTATTTGAGCATTCTGATGGTCCACACATTTTTACTATAAAAATTTTTCAAGTGACACCAGTGCACAATAATATTATTGTAATAAAGCAGAGAAAACAAATCAGATATACAGAAATAAATATATACAAATATCTTCACGGCAACTCCTGCCCCATGGCGGAGCTCGGCAAATGTTGAATGAACGCTTGTGAATCTCCTGACTTTCAGACTTCAATAGCAAAGTCATCAGATTTTTACCCCACCCATGACCAGAAAATTCCCTTTAACAAAATTAGAGGGAAAATTTTGTTCTTGTGCAGTGTGGGGATGTCAGCTATAAACAGTGGCACAGTGGTGTTAATGTCGAATAACAAATTAGCCTTTCTCACCAGTGAGACCATGCCAGGATGACATTCTCAGATGGAGTCCCAGCAAAGAAGGGGTTGGAAGACTTTTTTTTTTTTTTTAAGCTGTGCCAGGAACAGATTTACATGCAACAGGTGTACATATTACATTGTAAGGCAAGGTGACAATTTTATTAATAGGCTGCACTGAATTGTATCCGATTTGTGATGAAATGGCTTCCGAGGCTTAAGAACATAATAATAATAGAACCGCAAAAGGTCTACTGGCTCAAGTGAATAAAATCTATCACTCTTTCAGTCCTACAGATTTTACTACGTCATTTACCGAGCCACCAAGTTGGCTCCCTAAAGCTCTCCCATAAAAGGCAATTATTTGGAAATCTGGATTATTCACGAATCTGTCTTAGGCCCAGAACTATATCATCCTAATTTTGGAGGTTGACTGTATTACAACATTTTGAAAAATAAATGTGAAAAAAAAATGAAAAATAAAAATAATGTTGAAGAAATCTATGAATTTTGAAAATATATTTATTATTATTTTTATAAAAAAAATTATTTATTGATGTGGGTGGGGATAGACCACAGACACAATATGAACTAGTGGAATGAACGGAACTAATGGAAGAGTTGGAGGAGGTTACTTCAATCCACAACTGGTCAAATTAGATAGAACTATTAAAAGAAACTGGCAATAGTGTAGAGTTGCATCATATATCCAAAAGTAAAAAAGCAGGCCCAAGAGTTAAGAGATATACTAAAGATATTTTTCATGACCTTTATTAGACCAAAGCAGGAATAAGAAGCACATCAACTTGAAATGGTGCAAAGATATGTAAATAAATGGCTCCTGGACCTGAATGACAAGAGCTACCAGGAGAGATTCCATTCACCTGAGCTGTATGGGCCTCAAACCATGGACCCCACGCGTGTGAGGGCAACACTACTGACTGGACTATGACCCATATGCTCTTATCGCATGGGGTCCACAGTTCGAGACCCCCACAACCCAGATGAATGGAATTTTTCCACCGAAGTGTGGATGAAAATTTCTACTAGGCGAGGTTAGAGGCATTAAATATGGCAAACTAGACAATAGAAGAAAAATAGGCGATATGATCATTACATACAAAATAGTAAAGGGAATTGATAAAACTGATAGTGAAGAATTCCTGAGACCTGGAACTTCAAGAACAAGTGGACATGATACCTGCTTGATACCTGCTTGATGGGGTTCTGCGAGTTCTTCTACTCCCCAAGCCCGGCCCGGGGCCAGGCTTGACTTGTGATAACACTCACGTTTTGATAACTAAACAAAGCTGCCGAAGAAATACAAGAAAATTCACTTTCACAGAGTGGTAGACGACTGGAACAAATTAGGTAAGGTGGTGGTAGAGGCCAAAACTGTCAGTAGTTTCAAAGTGTTGTGTGACAATGAGGGCTGGGAAGATAGGACACCATGAACATAGTTCTCATCATGTAAGTACCCACAAGTAACTACCTGTATTACCATTTTTCTTTAAAGAGATTTCCTTAAATTTGGATTAATAATGTTTACTTCTTAAAATAAGTTTCAGTGTGTAATAGATTTAACTTATAATTATTCATTATCTAATAAACATGCATACTTAAGTACTGTACAGTTAAGGCAAAGTATAGATAAATAATACATAAATTACATGTGGCTGCCTTGACAACTCAATAGCATTATATTTTTTCAGCTGCTTGTGTAGTTGATTCCTTAAATTATTTACCTACTTCAAACTAATTATCTGTTAGAGTAACCTAACCTTGCCTAACTCCAGTTTGCATACCTATCGTTTTCATCAGAATTAACAGAAAAGATGAACATTTAATGTGATGAATAATTATAAATATCGTTAATGTTAATGGTTATTAAACTTCAATAATACTTATGTAAAAATATTTTAAGTAATACGTAATATTTTACGTAATATCTTCACGACACTCACCTGGGAATATTCTGAATATAGAGATTAGTTTCCTTTATGTCTTCGCCCGGCGGCCGTGCGTACGAGACCTTGATGCGTTTATGCTGCACGGGAAGATTATTCAACTGCAGAATGGCTTTAGCGGCATCTTCGGGCTTCTGGTACTCCACAAAGCCGAAGCCAAACGAATAGCCAGTCTGCTGGGATGGCCAAGTGTAAGGAGAAGGTAAAAATAAATGCCATTTTGATAAATCTTAAAATTAAACAAAATAAACTAAAAGAAATTATGAGCGTATTACAGGCATAATTAAAATAATTGAAACAGTAAATATTAAACCATATTTAGCAACTGAAGAAAAAATATTTAATTAAAATCAGAGAAATGTAAAAACTATAATTTATAGAAATACAAATTAGAAAATATTTAGTTTAAGATAATGAAATATGCTTGCATATACATATATAACATCACTGTATATTTACAAAAATATACTGCCTATATGTATTTCGACCTTATCTGATGAAAAGAGGTACAGTACTGTACAATATCTCTGGTCTTTATGCCAGGTGCCATCTCACAATACAAGCAATATCATGAATATTCTTAAAAATAAAAAAGAGCCACACCCCCATTGTAAACATATATATATATATATACTGTATATGCGGTTTTACATGTGGATATACAAAAGGATGGAGAATGAATGTGTGGATGCCACAGTTGGGGTTAGTGTATGAATACAGGTGGTGGTGTAGGTGCAGTTGGAGATGGAGACCTTGGAATATGGGTATGGCCATATGGTGAATGGGTTGCTGGTGGTGATGGTGCTTGGGAATCTTATATTGCTGGTGGATGATGGTGCTTGGGAATCTTATATTGCTGGTGGATGATGGTGCTTGGGAATCTTATAGTGCTGGTGGATGATGGTGCTTGGGAATCTTATATTGCTGGTGGATGACGGTGCTTGGGAATCTAATATTGCTGGTGGATGACGGTGCTTGGGAATCTTATATTGCTGGTGGATGATGGTGCTTGGGAATCTTATATTGCTGGTGGATGACGGTGCTTGGGAATCTTATATTGCTGGTGGATGACGGTGCTTGGGAATCTTATAGTGCTGGTGGATGATGGTGCTTGGGAATCTTATATTGCTGGTGGATGACGGTGCTTGGGAATCTAATATTGCTGGTGGATGACGGTGCTTGGGAATCTTATATTGCTGGTGGATGACGGTGCTTGGGAATCTTATATTGCTGGTGGTGATGGTGCTTGGAAATCTTAGCAGGTCATTCTCTCAAAGCATTCACATCACTAAAATAATGTACCATTTTGCCAAAACCTAACTTAACCGTATACCCACAAATAGAAAACAGACATCACATAAATTTTACAAGCCGCTACGATTATTATCACATCTTAGATGTTGGGAATTTTTATGCCAAAATACGATGTTTTAAGCAAGAGGATAGGTTAACCTAAAAGGGAAGTAAGGGTGAGACCTTTCAATTTCAAGAGGCAAAGTAAGAAAAATGGAAAATGGTGGGAATTGTGAGACTTAAGTCTTCCCTCACTAGTGATGAAACACTAAGGCCTAACTCCCAACACGACATTCTTCCATCACCGGTGAATGTGTGCAGTGACCCCAACCCCCCCTAAACATTCACCCCAAGTGAACCCAGACATGAGTGGCTTGCAGTATGCCAAAGAATTTTGTTCTTTTTAATAAATTAAAGTTGGTGCAGGTACTCATTGCTGTGCATTTAATTTTTCGTATCAAAATATTTGAATGTACAGTAAATGTTCCATCGTTTCATATGAAGAAACTACATAATGAATTACTACCTAAAAAAGTTTAAACTACATTTAAAATTTTCCCAGCAGACTTTGATGAATTAAACTTCTTGTTTAACCCACACCACATGAAGGAAGCCAAACTTGGACACAAATGACCCTCATCTGTCTGTCCTCAATTCAAACACTTCGATGCATGAAATGCCAATTTGTGAATTTAACAGTAGCCAAGTATTATAGCATGTATATCTTTATATATATCTCTAAATCAAGTAACACTAATATAAAAAATAAAAATGATCAACAGACTACACCTCCCCACAATGAAAGGAGCCTTAGCTTTAAGAATCATGCTTAACTTCTTCCCTGCAGAAGGTAACAGTTACTGTCCCATTAATATGACAAAAATGTATTAACTACATTATACTGTAGGTGACAACATTTTCAATTCATATAAAGTTTGACTAAATCCTGCCCTTCAAAATACAGTACATGCAAGGACTCTATAAATGCTGCCATCCGTTACTGACAGACCCAAATGTCACTCCCAAGTAAAAATCCCCGAAACCAGCAGCAACGTAGCTAACAATCGCTCCCACTTATCTTGAGATGATTTCGGGGCTTTAGTGTCCCCGCGGCCCGGTCCACGACCAGGCCTCCACCCCCAGGAAGCAGCCCGTGACAGCTGACTAACACCCAAGTACCTATTTTACTGCTAGGTAACAGGGGCATAGGGTGAAAGAAACTCTGCCCATAGTTTCTCGCCAGCACCTGGGATCAAACCCAAGACCACAGGATCACAAGTCCAGCGTGCTGTCCGCTCAGCCAACCGGCTTCCTTACAACTTACAACTCGCACCAATTCTACAATTTTCTTTACACAATTAAGTAACAATTATGTTCTTTAGTAAGGTGTAATATGCTTTTTATAAGAGATATTTGCATATTTCAAGCATATAAAATTCAATTTACAAACTCAGCCTTATCTATTTTTTTCAAATCCATTTTTTTTTTCTTGTTTATCATTCCCCAATTTCAGTCCTACTAATACTAATGGTAAATATGAGAGCATTTATTTTTCTTTTCATTTTAAATTAGAAAAAAGTTAAACAGATCAAGAACTCTCAAAAAAAATAGGCAGAATTTCTGGTTGTATTTTACAAATAAAATACATGAAATTCCTTTGTAAGAATGCTTATTTGATGTGGGCAAGAGGACAGCTGACAGAGCCCCGTGAAGAAATGATAGGACGAAGAGGAACACCAGGTTTATGAGTCTTAGGCGGACCACTTTTTCCTTGGCACTTTTTCCCCTGCCCACCTTATTTGGTTTATTTATAAGGGTGCATATTTTATGTTATTCTATGCACCAGATACACACCTAGGGCCAGATTCACGAAAGAGCTTACGCAAACACTTACGAACGTGTACATCTTTCCTTAAGCTTTGGCGGCTTTGGTTACATTTATTAAACAGTTTACAAGCATGAAAACTTCCCATTCAACTGTTGCTATTGTTATAAACAGGCTCCTGGTGCTTCGGAGCTCATTAACTGTTTAATAATTGTAAACAAAGCCGCCAAAGATTGAGAAAAGATGTACGGGTTCGTAGGTGTTTGCGTAAGTGCTTTTGTGAATCTGACCCAAGGACTAGTACCAAATTATGTACCCGAACAGTGCTAAATAACAATTAAAAAACTTAAAATTCTTCTTTATTATCTACAAAATCATTTTAAATGATTTTCATAGTAGGCTGAGAGTGGAAAATACACTATTTTTAATTAGAAATGTAATAGAAACAAGAAGACACACACAGGCAAGTAATATTCTTGTGGTGATTATGCTTATTGGATTTAGTAATAAATTTATTCTATATCTGGCAAACATTTATGCTCTGGTATCAAGTTGCTTGAGACAATATTTTGTAGTGTTTTCATTGGAGCAGCTGGAACAAGCAGGTCTCTTTCTTACAAGAAATATGATAAAATCAATAAATTAATAGTTTACTTCTATCTTTACCCAAGATGGGAACAGGGCCAAACGTAACGCACCCAAAATTTATATAAAAAGAAAATCATTTACGTGTATAATAATGGTTCCCAAAACAGAATCTCATCATATTCAACAAGGAATTTTATTTACTTGAAAATCAAAATACAACCAAAAATTACTTCTCCATTTTTTCACCAACATTGATTTTTTTCTAATTTTGTTTATGTAGTATTTCTGGTAATACAAAAATAAGAATATTCTTTTCATATTTAATATTTATCATTATAGCATTCATGCTGGTGAATAATGTTTGACGACGAAAACATCACGAACACCTACGAACATAAAAGCTAACAACGGTGAATAATGACACTGCCTGGCAAGCTCCATCAAATTCAATCCATCAACCCCTTGTGATCACATAAACCTACTGGGATAAAAACAAACATCACATAAACCCTCTAAAGCAGCACAGGAGCAGTGGATCATAGATCACTCACTATGAAAAGGCAACAACATGTGGACAAGTGTTAACACAGCCTACAGCAATGTAAACATACCATAGAAAAAACACCGAAGACCAGAGAGAGCCAAACAGCTCAGTGGTGAACCAATTTACCAATTACCCTAGTACTGGTGTTTACCCTAAAAAAAACAAGTTGTTAAATATGACCGAAAAAGTGAGATTAATAATTCTAACACGAATTTTCTCAATATGTCTTGTGTTTCTTTTTACTGTCGATAGTACATTGTAGAACTGAAAGTTAGCAGCTCCACCAAGGCCTAACAACACGAAGTGACAGCATTCAGCATGATGAGCCTATTCACAAAAATACCAAGACAAAAACTGAAGGAACACAAGAACAGAAACCAAAGACAAGTGACAAAAAGAATCAGATGGAAGGAGTGCCAAGAAACCTCATACTGTAACCACAATAAAACCCAAAGGTAGACACTAAAAGATCACCCACCTGCACACCATACCAAGGAGAGAGACAGAAAAAAAACTATGTATATACAGTATATATTATTCACATACACATATATATACATACATGTTATATATATTTTTATCTCCCAGCAAAACTAATTACTGTAAAGTCCCTGCTTTTTGCAGCTGTTTAAAGTGGGTCAGGTTTTAGCCTCAGGTTCCCTAGTAGGTTTATATGGCTCGAATGGGTCTGGCATGGGATGAATTGGGTGAAGCTTGCCAGGCAGCAAGCACAAAGGAACCCTCCCAGAAATATCTACCAAGCAAGCATAATTGGAGTTAAGTCAAAGTAGTAAACTCTTCAATGTAGTATGGTCCAGGGCTCTGTCTGGGACCTCTGTAGCTTATTATTATTATTATTTTAGGCATGATGAATTGGCAAAATTGTCAAATTTGTTGATACAAAATAGGGCATGAAGTATATTACA